TGTTCTAGCTAATGAACAGTCTTTATAGATTATGTTCAAACGGAATGCATCTTCATTACCTTGTAAAAGAATCTTATCAGTACACCATGGACCAGAGGTGAGCAAAACCGCTCAAAATCAACTTTTTCTTTTTGTAATTTTTGTAAATGTAACCTGAGACCACCAACACTCTAAAACTAATGTAACTTTTTTCCTTCTATGATTTTTGAGCTCAGTATATCAATTTTACTGCAAAAATGGCATTGTTTTACCTTTCAAATATCGGTAAAAATGTAAAAAATCATATAAAAATAAAATATGAGGCCAGTAAGACAAATTTACAACATTTTAATTTCAAAACGATTTATATCAGCCAATTGACGTCATATATTGAAATAAGAAGAATAAATATGAAAATGTATTTTTTTTGCTTGCTTTTTTTAAAAATATTTTTCAATAAACCCCTTAAAAATTGCAATATTTTTTTAACACTAACCTTAACACAAGCAAAAAAATATTAGACCGCACTAGACCGCACATGTGATCTGCTTTAAATTACACTCTCATATATAGCTAAAGGTTTTCAACCGATTTTTCCGAGCTCAGCTGAGCGCATTAGATGCTACACTTTTTATTATAAATGATATCCAATTGTAGAATTTGTTGAAAAAACTGAAGATTTAGCATAAAGAACTATTTTAGATTTTTAATAACTTAAATCTTTTTAAAATCTTCTTTAAATAGCACTTTTAATGTTGTTGTGAAAAGTTACGAAACATTTTATGAAGACTATGTGTTTTTTTAGTTTAATAGTTTTTTCATTAGTAATGATTTTTATTATGTTTAAGCGGTTTTTTAATGTACATTTTTGTGGATTGTTGTATTGTTACTTTTATGTGAACATGTGTAAAAAAATGATTTATGGAAGAGAATATTTATTATTTGTACTTATGCATGCAAAATGTTTTTGTTTCTGTGCCTGGTTTAGACCAATGCACAGTGGGAATTTTTTTTCCCTGGCCAAAAGTCCCAAAAAAGTCAGGTCTTCTCAACTTTTTTTTTTATTTTGATATTAAAACATACGTCTGTTACTCTACTCAAAAATGTATCCGTTTAATTACTAGATATGAAGGCAAGCTTGCTAGATCCATTCATAATGGCTTTAAAAATGTCAAATTTTCGTAAAAATTTTTTTTCAAAAATACTTATCCTCAAAATCATATTAACTTAGTGCTTATAAAAAATATATCTTTTAGTTATGTATTTGTATTTAATTCATTCATAATATGTCTCAGAGTTGTTCGTATCTTAAAGGTGTTTTTCTATATTTCCTCATCTTCCTTTTTCTAAATGCCGCTCGAAGATTGTTTAATTTTCTGATTTTTGCATTTACTAAAGGTAGTTATTGTTTAAAAAAAAACAGCTGCGACCATGTATTTTTTATGATATATTTTTTAGTTCAAAATCGACGACTTTTTTTGCTTTTATAAAAAGTTAAATTTAAAGTTTAGATATTTATTTAAGGAATATAGTTTTTTTTTTTGTTAATTTTATTAAACACATCGAATCGTTATCATTTAAAATTAATTTTTTTTAATTATTTTAATGTTTTCAAAAAAAAGGAAAAAAAAAATAATTTCACTATTAATACATAAAAATCAAATATTTAAGTATTCGATTTCAACCAAATGCCGCTATCTTAAAGTTGGTATTAATGATATTTAGCAAGTATTAAGGTTGTTTGATACAATTAGCTGCGACTAGCTATAATTTAGACTTCAAATCGATTTTAAAATTTCAAGATTTTAAACTAATTTAATTTTTACTTTACAATGTATTGTGTCGTTAAAAGATTTATTTGTCTGGAAATTTGAAGTCAATATGATATTGAAGACTAATTAGTTGAAAGTTGCAGCAATTTGATTAAAAATTTCACTTACAAAACACTTGTAAATTTGATCGAAAAATTACAATGATGGACCAAATCAATTGTTTAATGCTTTTGAGTGACCTAATTCTTTCATCTTTAAACTATGCAAGATCAAAATGTAAACATAACAAAATGAATCTAGAAGAATACGCAGTTGATATTCTTTTTCAAGAAACTGAAAAGCAAAATACAAATGATGCTTATGGTGATATATATGCGGATGGAGAATATAATGAGAAAAGAGAAACTAAAACCAATAAACATAAATGAAATAAGAAATTTAAATGAGCATTATGACAGTATCAAATCATCTGAAAATGAAAACACTGATTCGCCATTTTATTACTATGCTGACTTTAAATTTACTAACTAAAATTTTATTTATATTATTTTTACCTTTTGATTTGAATAAAACTATTATTATATGTGCACTAATTTGTAAAATAGAAAAAAACTTTTAAATATTTATTTGACTAGCAATATAAAATATAATTAGTCTAGTTCACCAAAAGTCTATATGAAGGATGTTAGTGACTAATAGTTTAATTATTTCTTATTATTTACAGTATAAGCAAGTGTCTAACTTCAATTTTCTTTTAATGTCTACGTTAAATTTTAATGCCTAATAGGCTGGTGGCCATATAGCAAAAATGTGACTAAAAATGAGTTTTCGTTGGACACTTGTAATAACTAAGTTTTTAGTTTCGATATTGTTAGAGCATGGTACTTAGATACGAAAAACAGAAACTTGCCCCATTTTTACCCTGCAGTTTATAAGAAATGACGGCTCGGGTCTTTTACCCCGAAAGGGCAATGTAAAGAAAAAAAAATTGTCAAATTTTGTGTAAGTAATATTTTTCTGGTAGTAAATTAAACAATGAATACATTTTTCTAAAGAACATTAACCTTAAAACGCATTGTTCTCAATATAGACCCAACGCTAATTGTGGTTGGGGGAGGGGCGGTGACAATTAATGATTTATTGTTTATTCAGTTGGCAAATTTGGACCTTTTAGTTTATTTAGTTTGCAAGTTTGAACTTTTTTGTCGGGTCAGTTTGCAAATTTGGACTAGTAAACTTTACCTTTACGTAATATCTATTCTCGCCGGCCATGTTTCAAGATAAGAAGTTTTGTTTTAGTTGCAGCAAATGAACTATCTTGTACTCATATATTGTGTAAGCGTAACAAAAAGTATAACACCTATAGTTTAAAACAAGAAAAAATACTAGAAATATCAATTATTTTTTTATTCATCATGATCACTTTCTGACTCTATTTCATTATCATCGTCATCATCATCATCATAGAGTCTTTCGTCAAACGAGGTGTTTTCACACGCTTCACCGCATGCGCATAGATCAGTGCATGTGAATCTGTTTTATTTACAAGGACATCGATTTGTGACGCAACCAAGTTTACAAGAACAATTGACAAATTCAAGAAGTGAATTGGGTGCAGGTGGAAATATTGTCTAAACCATGTTTACCTGGTCTTCATTTAAAGACCAACCATAGCCATTAGGCGAAGGGACATTTAACATACTTTTCAATTCGTTTTTTTGGATGTAAGCATCATAATTGGCACGTTTAATGTGTAAAATAAGCGAATCATAATTTGGAGGTAGCATCTCTTTTGTAGATTTGCCCATTTTGAATAAGTAATAAAGTGTTTTATTGACAACATCATCTTTACTTGCACCGTAAATGTGACAAAAATATTTCTGTATGCCACTAACAACCTCGTCTGATACATCTAGTGACATTCCGATCCCTCGGAATGCTGTACAATATTATTTTTTCTTTTCTGCTGTCTTTAGGGCATTAAATTTATCTTTTCTTTGAAAGGCAGACACTGCATCACAACCTAATTAATATGAAGAAACACTTCAAACATTTACGTTTTCAGATACAAAATTAGTTTATATAAAGAATACAATTTAGTATTTTTTTTTTTGATAAAGTAGCAAAAAAGTGCATGAAATAAATTCTTTGCAAGAAAGATAATGCTTTTACTTATACAATTTAATTTAAATCTACCTGTAAAAGAATGGAATCCGATCAATGCATCACACCAATCGTAACCAATCTCTTTGGCGATTTTATTTACATTAAAAATACGTTGTTTATTTCCACATCCTGTTTCAAAATGAAGAGTTGCAGAGATGAACCAACTATGGTATAATGCACTTACGAACACATCTGTATCGGGGCTTGCAAGTATAACTTGAACATATGAAACCGAATCATGCTTACAATGTAACAATAACCGAGTATCAGCTTCTTCGTGGTCGCTACGAAGTTCGGGCAATTTCGTACAAATCGAATTTCTGAAGCAGTATGTGCTATTACCATGTGTAATAAATATCTCTATTTCATTTATTGCATAACTTTTCCATTCTTCCAAGAGATACTTAACTAATTCCTCTTTATTGATGTCAACACTCATAAACTTCTTCCATTGTTTCGGTACTTTTTGATCAGGCCCAAATATAGCAACATTCTGGACACCAGCTCGTCTTTGTCTCTCGGCGTGTTTAATACTAATTGTTGGATACCTGTCCGTAACAAAGTCAACTCTATTTGACTTATGCCTAAGAGCATAATTCATTACCATTGTGAATATCAATCAACTTAGTTTTCCAAAATTTTCGGGTATAGGTTTAATTATTTGCAATATAGCCATACCGTCCAAAATTAATGCATTGTGTTGAGAAATATCCACTGATAATTTATAAATTAGTGAAAACTATCCCTTTTGTTTTTCCCCTTACTTTGTGCACTGTTTATACCTCTCTTTTTTCTTGGGTTGGTCCAATATTTAAAGGTTGAACAATGATTCCTTTAGCCATATGAGTAGTTTTCTTCCCAGATCTTGTTTCCTCGCCAAAATCGATGTTGTCCCAAACCAAAATTGACAGTGATGTGTCTTTAGTTCCTGATTAAAAATTTGATTCAAAAGACCAGAAATTTGTTGTATAAGCTCAATAAAAAAATTAGGCTATTATTAAGATAAATTATATACTTATTTTGATTTTTTGAATGTGCTATGGTTTATATTATAGTGATAATACTTGCAAGAGCCTTGTTTTGATCACTTTATAATTAAAAATATTTTTCATCATAGATATTGTTTAATCTTACCTTGTGGTAAAACTACATCTTCTTTTAGATTGATAAATGCTAATGCTGTTTCATATCTCATTCTTGCTGAATATGATATACAATGCCCAAAACCACTCAATATTTTTATCAACTCTTTTGATCCAGTTATCTGCCTTGTTGCCATTGACAATGCCACAGATTTAGGTGTTTGTTTGCGCCCATTTGAACTTATATAGATGCAATCTTGAATTAAAGATAAAACCTTTTTTTTAATGGTTTCCTCTATACATATGTAGGATTCAATTTTTGGTTCATCATCAGTACCCAAAAGCCAAACAAAAAAATTAAATAACCCAGGTGGTACAATGTTCTCTATATTTTTAAATAAGAACTCAGAAAAAAATGGAGGCCATGTTGAAAAGAAATCAGGAGTTGTATTTATTATATTTCGGAAATGCAACGCTGTTTTACATATGCTATTCATTGTCAACAAATTCATATTTAATATTTTGAGGTTTATCAGTATCCGACAAGGGTTCTGTTTGAGAAGACTCACTTTGAGATGTTTCATTATCATAAACAAAGGTCTTTTCAGCAAAATCGCCACTTGATAGATTTTCATGCGAAACTATTTCACTTGAATTTCTTCTACCAGTTGTGTGGAAAATTAATTGTGGAAAAGCCGCTTGAATCCTTGACTTTAAATGGGACACTTTATAATTACTGGCATCAAAATTTTCTTTACGATAAACGATTGAAACAAACAAACTAAACAACTTTGACATAAACGTGACTTTCTTCTTTTTAATTAACTTTTCTTTTATTATTTCATTTGAAAATATATTAAAAGATTTACTGCAATATTGAACTTTAGGCTGACCATTGTGTTGATTTGCTAAACACTATATATAACTTAGCATGTTCGATGGTATTTAACTTCAAGGGCAACACAGTCCTTTCCATTAATATGTATAAGAATATTTTCATCGGATTTATAGTTGGCTGCTTCTCTTAATCTCTCACAATCCAAGATTCTGATCTTGAGAGCGATTCGAGCGTTCGTTTATACCTGAAACCAGCATTGGAAATTAATATTTCTAAACAGTTATTACCCTCCCAACAGTTATTATCAAAAAGATACGAATTAAAAATAAAAATAAAATACATTTTCAAGAAAAACTATAGTATAAACTATGCATTAGCATACTTTATACTATAGTTTTATTAAATTATTAAGTTTTTATAGTTTATTAAATAAATTTAGTTAATAATGTACAACTTTACCTTGTTATTATTCCATTTGTGTTTCTTTTGGCATACTATGCGTATACCTGGCCACAAATAATTACTCTCACTCAGTTGTTTACACCGAATTTTTTTTCTTTTTGGCTGAACTTCTTTAGTGCTTGCATTTATAGATGTCGATTGTTGCATTTCATCATCTATATTAGTTCTCTAACATTCTATTAGTTCAGTTTGTCGGTGTTCATCCCAGTCAATTTTTTCTGTCTGCTAATTATTTTCTGCTCTTTCAAGTTTAAAAACATTACAAATACGCTCGCAACATTTTGGATGGTAAGAATAACCCATGGCAAACCTTTCCATTTCTACAATATCTGTCATTGAGTTGAACTCCTCTTCTGTTTTAGCGTTAATAGTACTAAAAGAAAATCTTGCCACATCTCTATTTTTATTTCGAAGATTGCATCACCTTTTTTGTGTGCTAAATATTTTTTTTATAGCTTTAGTACTGCATTTTTGAATGCATTTATTCGGTATATCATCAAAATGAATTAAACAAATATTATCGCATAACGATGTTGCTGCCATTAAGCTTGGTTATATTGTTACCAAACGTGACAGATATATTTTACGGAAAAATTTATTACAAAGTTTCGGTCCCTTTAGTTGTTCCGTAAATTACTAATTATCAACGATAAGATAATAATCGTTAAAAAACGATAATGCACGATAAAGGAAAGTAAAATGATTGATTGTGAAAAAACTGCTGAGTAAAAAAGAGGCAAGTTTATATTTTTATAATGTTTATACTAAGAAACGCCTGTATCAATATAGAAATTTCAGTTATTAGATGTGTCCAACGAGATGAAGCAATTATCAATGTTGGCCACCGGCCTATAAGGCTTTTTAAAGTTTTTAACGTTACAATTTTTTAATCGAATCGCTGCAATTATCAACGAATTAATCTTCAATATCATATAAACCTCAAATTTCCAGACAAATAATCTTTTAACGTCACAATGCATTGTAAAGTAAGAATTAAATTAGCCTATAATCTTGAAATTTCAAAATCGATTTAAAATCTAAATTATAGCTAGTCGCAGCTGATTGTATCAATCAACCTTAATACTTGCTAAATATCATTAATACCAATTTTAAGATAGCGGCATTTTAGTTGGAATCAAATACTTAAATATTTGATTTTTATGTATTAATAGTAAAATGATTTTTTTTCTTCCTTTTTTTTGAAAACATTAAAATAATATAAAAAAAATTATTTTAAATGATAACGATTCGATGTGTTTAATAAAATTAACAAAAATAGCTGTTTTTTTTTAAACAATAACTACCATTTAGTAAATGCAAAAATCAGAAAATTAAACAATCTTCGAGCGACATTTAGAAAAAGATGAGGAAATTTAGAAAAACATCTATAAAATACCAACAACTCTAAGACATATTTTGAATGAATTGAATACAAATATATATAACTAAAACATATATATTTTTATAAGCACTAAATTAATATGTTTATTTAAAATAAAAATAGTCCAAAGCTTTTTTAATTAAAAAAAGTTATGTAGATTTTGAAGATAAGTAGGGATTTTAGGCACATTTTATTGCAAATGTAAATCTTTTGCATTGCGTTCCTTATTATATTTTATTTCCAAAAAGGTTTCAACCACTTCTGTAGCTTATTTAGTTTCAAAGATATACGTGTTTTAATATTTACAATTCGTAGACTTTTTATGAAATATTTTCATAAAGTACCTCGATAAATTTTTGGCACCGAAAAAAAAAACTTTTTTATAATTTTTTTTTCTTGAGTAAAAACTTTTTGCGTTAACAAACTTTTAATAAAGAGTTATCAGAAACTAAATCGTAAATCAAAATTATTTAAACAATTTATAAGTATACTTTTTTTTTTAACAGTAGAACCTGTTTTAAACTTTTTCAATTTTAAAATGGTTTGATTTATAATTAACGTTAGGCGTAACAAAACTTAACCGCTTAGAGTCTGTTGTTTAGACTAATGTATTATTTTCCCCACCTATGATATTATAAAAGTTTTCTTTTTTTAATAGGGTTTTATTTTATAATTTAGAATTATAGGGTTTTGATTTTTTTTAAAAACAATGAATGAAAAACTTGTTGAATTGTTTTATTTAATTGTGTAAATTAACAGATTAAGTCAACAGAATACTTTTAAAGATTATCTTATATTTCAAGTTGCAAAAGATGTCTTAAATCTTTTTTTTGTCTTCGAAAACAAATATCGAAGTATTAACATAAACAAATTTGTTTATATAATGCAAATTATTTGAACTCATAAACTTAAATTTTCAAAATTCATTCTAAACTTCGCGGTAAATCGAAAAAGTTTTTATTATTAAACTGTTCATCAAACTTCAGAGTAGGCTACCCTAAAATAAAGTAACCTACTGTTAAAAAAATTTAGAGGATATCGGGCAGCATTATATGTTTATCTATGTTTTTATTACAATTTTAAAAAATTTGACCGCCCTTTTCTAACAGTAAACACACACAGAATTATATATATATATATATATATATATATATATATATATATATATATATATATATATATATATATATATATATATATATATATATATATATATATATATATATATATATATATAATATATATATATATATATATATATATATATATATATATATATATATATATATATATATATATATATATATATATATATATATATATATATATATATATATATATGTATATACATTGTCATCAAACAATTTTTTACAAAATTTGCCTTGGCTATTCCGTTCATAAATTAGACAAAATTATCTAAATTACTTAACGAAGTGCACCAATGAGAAGGTAAACCTTACTTTGCACTCTATTATAATAGTAATTTTGCATAAAGCTTTTTTTTTGTTATTTTAATTTTAATATTTATAATTATATGCTGTTAACCATAGAAATAAAAATACTGATATATAATATAAAAATATCTTTAAATATAAAATAAATAAAAGTATCT